GGGCACCCAGGTGGCACCAGGGACATCCCTGACACCAGGCACCTTGCTGGGCACTGGGCACCCAGGTGGCACCAGGGACATCTCTGGCACCAGGCACTCACGTGGCACCGGGGACATCCCCCCCATTGGGCACCCCGCAGGGCAGCGGACCCCCACGTGACACCAGGGATGTCCCTGACACTGAGCACCCTGCTGGGCACCGGGCAACCACATGCCACCGGGGACATCCCCGATGCCAGGCACCCACTTAGCGCTGGGGACATCTCTAAACCCAGGCCCCCGTAGGGCAACAGGGGCACCCTTGACCCCAGGCCCCCACTCCGCAGGGCCCCGGGTGCCACCCGCTCACCGGTGCCCGTGGCGTTGCTGTAGACCTTGAGCATCTGGGAGGCCATGAAGTTGACCTGGGTGTTGTAGGTGGCCTGGACGCTGCGCTTGATGCGCAGCATCTCCCGGATGGTGTCCTCGTTGCCGTGGCGGATCTCAAAGTCCTTCCACGTCTGCCAGAAGGTGGCCGTGATCTGCGCCAGAGGGTGAGGGACACGGCGGGTGAGGCACTGGGGCACCCGAGGTGGCACTGGGGATGTCCCTGGTACCGGTGCTGGGCACTGGGTACCTTGGACATCCTCGACACTGGGCAGCCACGTGGCGTCGGGGACCTCCCTGACACCGAGCACCCTGTTGGCGCTGGACACATGGGACATCCCTGACGCTGGGCACCCACGTGGTGTTGGGGACCTCCCTGACACCGAGCATCCTGCTGGGCACTGGGGCACCTGGGACATCCCTGATGATGGGCACCCTGCTGGGCACCCACATGGCACTGGGGACATCCTTGACACTGGGCACCCATGTGGCACCGGGCACCCAGGTGGAACCAGGGACATCCCTGACACCAGGCACCCACATGGCACTGGGGACATCCTTGACACTGGGCACCCATGTGGCACCGGGCACCCAGGTGGAACCAGGGACATCCCTGACACCAGGCACCCACATGGCACTGGGGACATCCTTGACACTGGGCACCCATGTGGCACCGGGCACCCAGGTGGAACCAGGGACATCCCTGACACCAGGCACCCACATGGCACTGGGGACATCCTTGACACTGGGCACCCATGTGGCACCGGGCACCCAGGTGGAACCAGGGACATCCCTGACACCAGGCACCCACATGGCACTGGGGACATCCTTGACACTGGGCACCCATGTGGCACCGGGCACCCAGGTGGAACCAGGGACATCCCTGACACCAGGCACCCACATGGCACTGGGGACATCCTTGACACTGGGCACCCATGTGGCACCGGGCACCCAGGTGGAACCAGGGACATCCCTGACACCAGGCACCCACATGGCACTGGGGACATCCTTGACACTGGGCACCCATGTGGCACCGGGCACCCAGGTGGAACCAGGGACATCCCTGACACCAGGCACCCACATGGCACTGGGGACATCCTTGACACTGGGCACCCATGTGGCACCGGGCACCCAGGTGGAACCAGGGACATCCCTGACACCAGGCACCCACATGGCACTGGGGACATCCTTGACACTGGGCACCCATGTGGCACCGGGCACCCAGGTGGAACCAGGGACATCCCTGACACCAGGCACCCACATGGCACTGGGGACATCCTTGACACTGGGCACCCATGTGGCACCGGGCACCCAGGTGGAACCAGGGACATCCCTGACACCAGGCACCCACATGGCACTGGGGACATCCTTGACACTGGGCACCCATGTGGCACCGGGCACCCAGGTGGAACCAGGGACATCCCTGACACCAGGCACCCACATGGCACTGGGGACATCCTTGACACTGGGCACCCATGTGGCACCGGGCACCCAGGTGGAACCAGGGACATCCCTGACACCAGGCACCCACATGGCACTGGGGACATCCTTGACACTGGGCACCCATGTGGCACCGGGCACCCAGGTGGAACCAGGGACATCCCTGACACCAGGCACCCACATGGCACTGGGGACATCCTTGACACTGGGCACCCATGTGGCACCGGGCACCCAGGTGGAACCAGGGACATCCCTGACACCAGGCACCCACATGGCACTGGGGACATCCTTGACACTGGGCACCCATGTGGCACCGGGCACCCAGGTGGAACCAGGGACATCCCTGACACCAGGCACCCACATGGCACTGGGGACATCCTTGACACTGGGCACCCATGTGGCACCGGGCACCCAGGTGGAACCAGGGACATCCCTGACACCAGGCACCCACATGGCACTGGGGACATCCTTGACACTGGGCACCCATGTGGCACCGGGCACCCAGGTGGAACCAGGGACATCCCTGACACCAGGCACCCACATGGCACTGGGGACATCCTTGACACTGGGCACCCATGTGGCACCGGGCACCCAGGTGGAACCAGGGACATCCCTGACACCAGGCACCCACATGGCACTGAGGACATCCCTGACACTGGGCACCCTGCTGGGCACTGGGCACCCACATGGCCCTGGGGACATCCCTGACACCCTGCTGGGCACCAGAAACCCATGTGGCACTGGGGACATCCCTGACGCTGGGCACCCATGTGGCACCGGGCACCCAGGTGGAACCAGGGACATCCCTGACACCCTGCTGGGCACCAGAAACCCATGTGGCACTGGGGACATCCCTGACGCTGGGCACCCATGTGGCACCAGGGACATCCGTGACACCGAGCACCCGCACGGCACTAGGGACATCCCTGACACCAGGCACCATGCTGGCCACTGGGCACCCACGTGGCATTAGGAACACCTTTGACACCAAGCACCCCGTGTGGCACTGGGGACAACCCTGACCCCAGGGCACCCACGGGGCGCACAGGGACCTCGGTGGCGTCGCCCACCCGTTCCCCCAGCACTTCTGCAGCCGCCGCCAACCCCAGCCTGGCTGCTGGCTCCGGTGCCGCCCAG